TCCTGACTTGGACGGTCATAGACTTTACGGAGAAATCGTAGGCTTGCTAGAGAGCACAAAGGTTACTCCTGCTGAGATTTGTGAGGATCTACTGAAGACAAATGATGAGGATGATGATGAAGATGCTGATGCTGCTCTCGAAAGACTTGTCGACTTTTTCAAACTTAAGAAGCTTGAAGGTGATAAACCCGAAATTGAAGAGGGAAAAAAGCAGAAAATGGATGTCGATGTTAATAATGTTAATATTTTCAAGAGAGAAGAAGAAAGAAGGCAGGAAATAAATGTCAAAGTGAATGATGACATAGAAAATAAATGATGGTGATATATAGATGCTGGAAAGTGTTTGGTAGCAAAAATCAGCTATATAATATATATATATGTATGTATTAATTAATCTTCTTCATTATAATGGAAAAAGAGTTGAATTAATTATTGTATGGTTAATTATGGTAAGGTGGTCGAGAAAAAGGAAGGAAAAGAGAAGCAAACAAATGAAAGCACTGGGCGTGGAATGTCTGTGCAACCAAATGAAGGCTTTTTTTGTTTGTTGCGCATGTGAATGGTTAGAAAAGAGTCAAGCATTTGTATTGTTATTGTACCACTAGCAGTCCAAAAATAATCAATCAAATATTTATCCAAAACACGAGGAAAGGGATGACTTTAGTCAACAAGATGACAATAACGTACTGGGGATTGTGTGCACGCGGTTTTGGGTCTAAGAAAATTGCAAATTAAACCACCCCGCGTAAATATCCCCAACTTTGATCCAATTTTAATTTGTAAAAGATGTGATTAGAGAAGGTGCATGTATACATTTTGACTGATAAAAAGGCTACAGTCAAGACTAATAGGGCATTGTGGCTCAAATTTTTGGTGTGCTCTTAAGTGATCTGGGTTCAAGTCTCATTGTACTTATGCGTGTGAGTTTCTCATTCCTCCTTCCTAACTTTGGCCCCCAAAAAAATAGAAACTACAATCAAGTGGCGTTGTCTTAACAAAAATTTGGCAAAATGGTCCTTTCAAGAATTTATGCTGGTGAATGTGGTTACAACAACGCTTCTTCAGAAGATAATGGTGATATAGTTCATTTAAGCACCTGGGTTATTTTAGAATTTCGACTATATTGGATTTGTAGAATTTATTTGAGATTATGCGTAATTATAAAATGATGTGGACTATTAATTTTAATGTGGTTTTTGTCAGTTTTGATTTTGGCTTTAGAGACTTTGGTCACATCGGAGATCAGAAAAAAAAAAGGCAGACTAACAAGAGGAAGGCAAGGAGAAGCAACCACGAACCAGCAGCTGGGGTTTGATGCATGTCAAGGATATGGACCCACTCCACAGTGAAAACTTGCCGTGGATGCAGGTGCAGCACACGTAGGCACAAATGCCCTATTGGGCTATGGCTAGCCCTCTGTCTTGTTTATATCGTACTCGGAGTTGGGGGGTCTACCCAAACGCTGTTGTGGGTCTGAAAACAGCTTGCAAAGTAAGCAACGTCTCATCTATATATATATTATATATAGAAACGACCCCGCAACACCATCCACACCTTGTTCTCAAGCTGTGCCTCTCTCTCTCTCTCTCTCCCTTGCTGCATCGATCCATCAGCCATGAATTTTATCTTGGAGCAGCTCCTGCTTTTCATTTCCACTGCCCTCAATTACCTTGCTACCCTTATCTCCCCTCGTCATGATCTTCATGATCGTCATGAGGACCTTACTTTCATCATCCGCCAGGACAACAGGCCACCCAACCAAGTCTACGACGCCGCCGAGCGCTACCTCCCAACCATTGACTTGATCAATCCCTCCACCCGAACCATCCAAGTGAGCAAAACGCCGCGGCAAGAGACCGTCAAGCTTGCCATGGAAAGCGGTGAGCAAGTCCCCGACACCTTTGAGGACATTAACCTCAACTGGCGTTACGTGGTCGAAACATTCCGTGACGGCAGTGTAGAATATCGCTTTGAGCTAACGTTCCAAAAGAAACACAAAGAAAAAGTCATGAGCTCCTACTTACCCTATGTGGTTGGTCGGGCCGAAGCCATTAAAAAAGAGGAAAAGATTCTCAAACTTTCTAACCTTACCAACTCATCAGTGGATTTGGAGCACCCAGCTACGTTCGAGACGATCGCCATGGAGCCCGACCTGAAGAGAAAGATTATGAAGGACTTGGACAGGTTTGTGGCCAGGAGGGAGTTTTATAAGAAGGTGGGCAAGGCTTGGAAAAGAGGCTACTTGTTGTATGGCCCTCCTGGTACTGGAAAATCCAGCCTGATTGCGGCCATGGCTAATCATCTCAAGTTTGATGTGTTTGATTTGGAGCTTGCTAGTATTCGCAGCGACTCTCATTTGAAGAGTGTGGTTCTGTCCACTACAAATCGTTCCATTTTGGTGATTGAGGATATTGATTTCACCGTCCATAATAAGGATAACCGGGTTAGTACCTACTCCTTTTTTTTTTTTTTTTTTTTTTTTTCCGGTGGTGAATTTTAATTTTTCTTTAAATATAGTGACCTTAAACGCACCTCTTAATTATGCATATTTGATAATCGCATTTGGTGATTTGTTCTGTAAATAATAAAAATATTATTTACATTCAGTGTTATGTTGATTTTGCAGTTCACACTCTCAGGCCTACTAAACTTCATGGATGGTCTTTGGTCAAGTTGTGGTGATGAGAGAGTTATTGTGTTCACAACAAACCACAAGGATCGTCTCGACCCTGTATTGCTGCGTCCTGGTCGAATGGACGTCCACATTCACATGTCTTATTGCACACCGAGTGCGTTTAGCATTTTGGCCTCCAACTACCTTGGAATTCAAGACTTCGACAGCCATCGGCTTAAGGGAGAAATCGTAGGGTTGCTAGAGAGCACAAAGGTCACCCCTGCTGACATTTGTGAAGATTTCTTGAGGCAAAATGACGATGATGTTGATGGTGATGATGATGATGTTGATGTTGATGCTGCTCTTGAAAGAGTTGTCAAGTTTCTCAAACTTAGGAAGCTTGAAGGGGCTAATAATGTTGATGAGACAGAAACTCAAGAAGAAGAAAAAGCAGGAAATGGATCTGAAAGTGAATGATGAAGGTGATAACTCATCCATCTAATATGAGCTATCGCGAGCCCCTTTGAGATGGTTTTGAGTTCAAGTACTTTTGTTGGAAAAATAAATATGGATGTTAGATTCCTAGGTTTTGTTTGGTGTCATGTCCTTTTTCTGTTGGGTCCATGTTTGGTGTTGTCCTATTATCCGATCTGATTAGGGTTTAGGGTTTAGGATAAACTTAGTAATTTTTCATGTTTCAGAGTGCACGTGTCTTTTGAAATTACAAAAATTAACTGCTTTTTTCTGTGACCGAATTTTCTTTCACTGGGAGTTTTCAAGGCAAGGTTTTAATAAGGCTTAGCCTGTATCGGTTTGCAAGGAATTCTTGTATTTGAATGACTATTAAATGAAGTTTTTCTTTCCAAGGCCGGAAGGAGGCAATTGTAACTCCCTAACAAGTGGAAAAAAGTTAACGGAGAAAACTGTTTGCAATTTTTTAGTCCAAAATAAAATGGTCTTGTCTTGTCGTAGATTAATACCAAATAGAGGAACTGAGGAAGAGGAGGAGTAAGAAATAAAAGTGTCATGTCCCATATTCATGTGGCAAAAGTCATGCAAACTGAGACTTTGACTTTGGTCAACAGGGAAGGCAACGAGAAGCAACCACCAGCATTTGATGGAAATTTCTGGTCTTACAGAATTTCTTCAAACATGTCGCGTTGACTTGGGACCCTTTTACGCGTTCACAAGTAATTGTGAGCAGAATTACCAAGTTGCCTTCTGAAATGAAATCCATACAGCGGCTAGGATCACATAGACATGGATTGTCTCGTAAATTCATTTATGAGCTAGCCTCTTAACTTTGCATCTCCCTCTGTCTTTACCCTGACTCAATTCTTTGTTTTTTTTTCTTTCCTTACATCCTTAATCAACCAATGCAAATACATTCCATTCCTATCAGTTGTGTTAATATTAGGAGACATTATATTTATGAAATACCATATCATTTTCCAAATATTTTTAGATTTGGTTGACACATGGTTGTTCAAAGGAAGAAGGGGGGATTTGGGAATGAGGTGTATTTTAATAACATTCTTGAATTAGAGAAAGATGAAATGAAGAGAGAATTTGGATGTTATCATTCACTAATTTTCAATTGTATGAATGCAAGCAGGCCAAACTCAATATGTGGAATTTTGGGTCCAAAGTCACTCTAAACGCTTGTATAGGGTCATATGTTATTTTTTTCACTCATACCTTAAATCATGTGTTATTTTTTCACACTTACGTATCGTGTGTGTGAGTTTAGTATGCTATTGGTCCTCTCAATAAAAAATACCTTAAAAAAATGCAATTTAAGATGTAAATGCAATTTTATACATTCCCAAAGATGTTAGAGAACTCAAGGATAATCATAGTAGTTTTTCCTGCTCCTCCTTGGTTCATGCATATTCCTTTCTTAATTATAATACCAAACTGAAGAAGAAAAAAAATCTATTATACACCTTCAATTCATGGGATTTGAAATATGTGGTACTTTCTAAAGTTTCTATATATATATATATATATATATATACAATAACTCAACTGCAAGGAAGGAGAAGCAACCACCAGCCAGCAGCTTCTGTGTGGTTTGATGCATCATGCATGTGAAGGAGATGGACCCACCCCACAGTAAATACTTGGCAACTGTACTCTCATGCTGCATGGCCTGGAAATTGTATATATTTGGCTATGGCTAGCTCTAGCTCTATGCCTGTTTCATATTCGTACTGGGAGTTGTGGGGTCTAAAAAGCTTTCAAATTAAGCAACCTCAAATATATATGTCCCCAAGTTAATTGATCAAAGAAATTCCCCCAACACCATCCTCCCTCCCTTGATCAAGGAAAAGTTTCAGGCCCCATTCATTCATATGGCAAAAGACACGCAAACAGAGACTTTGACTTTTGTCAACGAGGAAGGCAACAGGAAGCAACCACCATCATTTGATGGAAATTTCTCCCCTGTCTTGTAGAACTTCTCCGAACTTGTCTCGTTGACTTGGGTCCCTTTAGGCTTTGACAGACAAGGAATTGTTCTGTAAATTCCTTTCTGTGCATCTGCCTTTTTCCTCCATTTGAGCCAAATCAAAGCTTGCAGAATTCTTGTGTTCTAGGAAGCAGAGAAACACAGAGGACTGTTCAGAATTCTTTTGTTCTCTAACAGGGTTCAGTTGTAAGTGTCTCTATATTTGTCAATCGTGAACCCTTTTTTTCCTTATTTATTGGTTGCAGAAGTTTTGCTCCTTTATTTATTTATTTTGATGATAATCTTGGTCTGATCAAACATGATCCCAGGGTGTGCAGAGAGAAGATTAACAAAGTAAACAAAACCCAATTAATGTAAGTTTCACTTTACCCTGACTCAGTTCTACAATTTCTTTTTGCTTACATCCTTGATCAACCAACCAATATGTAAATATATTCCATTCCTATCAGTTCTTCTGTCAATATAATTAGGAGACACCATATCATTTTCAGTAATATATTTTTAGATTTGGTTGAGACTTGGTTGTTCAAAGGAAGAAGGGGATTGAGACATGTTGATTTTTGAGTAGAAGCCTTTGGGAAATTGATATCAAGAAACAATAGTCCATAATTGTAAAAGATAATTGATAGTTTGCTACACTCTTGAGTGTTATATGTTCAAAATGTGAGAAAGTCTCAGTTTTTTTTTCTTTTTCTTATTAGATTTGTGCAAGATGGTGGATGCTGTAGTAACAGTGTTCTTGGAGAAGTTGTTGGGAGCTTTATCAGAGGAGAGCCGTGTTTTCAGTGAATTCAGGGACAAATTTGAAACATTACAATCTGAGCTTCAACTGATGCAAAGCTTTCTCAAAGATGCAGAGAGGCTCAAGAGGAAGAAAGAGACCGTTCGTCGCGTAATGGCTAATTTGAGAGAATTGATTTATGAAGCTGAAGACATACTAGCAGATTGTCAGCTTCAATCAAGAGATGATGGGCTGTTTTCCAGCGGTTGGTTTATGTGCACCAACCCTTTTAAACTTCCATTCCAATATCAAACTGGGAAGAGCCTTGGAGAAATCAATAGGAAAATTGCCAGCATTAAGCAAGACATTTCCTCCTATCTTGGAGTTCCACTGCTGAATCAACTGGAGCCAATAAATGCACAAAATGACCTGATGCCTAGATGGAGCAGTCCTGTGTATGATCACACCCAAGTCGTAGGTTTGGAAGGCGATGCGAGTAAGCTCAAAGAATGGTTATTTGAAGCTGATAAGGGGATACTAGCTATTGGAGTTGTGGGCATGGGGGGCCTGGGGAAAACCACTATTGCTCAAAAAGTATTTAATGACAGGAAGATTGAGGAGCACTTTGATAGAAGAATTTGGGTTTCTGTTTCTCAAAATTTCAGTGAAGAGCAAATCATGAGAAGTATGTTAAGGAACTTGGGAGATGCAAGCGTAGGAGACGATAAGGGTGAATTACTAAAGAAAATAAATGAATATCTTTTAGGCAAGAGGTTTTTGATTGTGATGGATGATGTGTGGAGCTTGGATGTCACTTGGTGGCTCAGAATTTATGAAGCATTGCCAAAGGGAAATGGAAGCAGCATCATTATCACCACAAGGATAGAGAAGGTTGCACAGAAAATGGGAGTGAAGGAAGCAAGATTGCATCGGCCCAAATGCCTCAGCAAGGATGATAGTTGGCTGCTATTTCAGAAGATTGCATTTGCAGCTGATGGAGGTGAGTGTATGCATCCAGAACTGGAAAATGTTGGAAAGGAGATTGTTGAGAAGTGTAAGGGTCTTCCATTAGCAATCAAGGCAGTTGGAGGAATAATGCTCTGCAAACCATCACGCTATCATGAATGGAGGCGAATTGCAGACCATTTTCGTGATGAATTAGCAGAGAATGATAACTCAGTTATGGCTTCTCTACAATTGAGTTATGATGAACTCCCATCTTACTTGAAGTCATGCTTTCTTTGTTTGTCTCTTTATCCTGAAGATTGTGTCATAACCAAAGACCAATTGGTACATTGGTGGCTTGGAGAAGGTTTTATTCCGCTGAGAAATGGTAGATCAGCAATTGCAGCAGGGGAAGATTGTTTCTCGGGGCTAACAAATCGATGTTTGCTAGAGGTGGTGGACAAGACTTATCATGGAACAATCTCCACATGTAAAATTCATGATATGGTTCGGGATGTGGTGATAAAAATGGCAGAAGATGATGCATTTTTCAACACAGAAGGTAAAAACTGCCGCCATTTGGGTATTGCAAGTAGCATGGCTCAGAAGGCCAATCACAAGCTGCGTGCATTGTTATCTACAACTAAGACAGGTGAAGTGAACAAGATTGCTTCAAACACTGCAAAGAAGTTTTGTAAGTCTAGAAACCTTCGAGCAATGGATTTGTCCAGGTCAATCTTTGATACACCTCTCTCAGGCCTTTTACATCAGATTGGTGTTCTTCAACACCTAACCTACCTTAGTGTAAGCAACACACATCCGTTGGTTCAACTCCCACCTTCACTTGACAAGCTTAGCAACCTTCAGGTTTTGGATGCCAGCTACTGTCAAAACTTAAAGATACTCCCCCCTTGTATTATGACTTTCAAGAAGTTAAGGGTCTTAGATGCCAGCCATTGTGGTTCACTCGAGTATCTACCTAAAGGCTTGGGAAGGCTTTCAAATCTTGAAGTGTTATTGGGATTCAAACCAGCCAAATCCAGCCAGTTAGAAGGTTGCAGGATTGGTGAGCTCAGAAATTTAATTCGGCTTAGGACACTAGGGATTCGACTGAGTTGCTCTGATGAGATTGGAGATACTGAGGTCAATGTATTGGTAAATCTACAAGAACTGCAGCATCTGTCAATAAGCTGCTTTGATAGTCATGGTAATAATGACCTCACAGCCAAGCTTGACAAGCTGTTCCCTCCTCAACAACTCCATGAGCTCAGCCTAGAATTCTATCCAGGAAAGATTAGTCCATCTTGGCTCAATCCCATCTCACTTCCTATATTGAGGTATCTTTCAATATCATCAGGCAATGTTGCAAGGATGAATGAAAAGTTTTGGGGGAATGACAACACTGTCTGGAAAATTGAGGGCTTACTGTTGGAATCTCTTTCCGATTTCGAAGAAGAATGGGAGAGGCTTCAACAAGTTATGCCAGCATTGAGAGTCGTCAATGTGAGCTGGTGCCCAGAGCTGGTATCTTTTCCAATTGAGAATGTTGGGTTTAGAGGTGGTGTCTGGAAGGAGGAAGTGCACAAAAGCTAAATGCAAATGTCATGTGCTAGCCAGCTAGTGCTACCATTGAATTTTAGCAAGGGTTCAATTCAGTTTTCCTTGTAAATAAGCATGAGAGCATGTAATATATGTACATGCTCTATGTTGCATAAATGTCCTTAGCTTGTGGTGGAGTCTCTAAACTGCCATTTTTAGAGGTATAATTAGAAGAAGAAAGACGACGATGGATATCATGA